AAGATGGTACCTTACCCCAGCAAAATTGAATATTATAAATAAAAATGTACCATCTCAATGCTGGAGATGCAAAAAGGAAAAAGGAAGTTATTTACATATGTCGTGGGAAAGGAAAAAGGAAGTTATTTACATATGTGTGGGCTTGTGAAATAAAGAAATAATGGGCACTGGTTTTTAAAGAAATTAGAGAAATTATTGGAAATAATATTTGAATATCACCATCTATTGCCCTTTTAAATACAATTAAAATGACCATCCTAAAAAAGAACAGAAAGAGTTATTCATTATAAATGGTCCCAGCAGCAAGATTAATATTTGCAAAAAGTTGGAAAAATGACAAGTCAGCCTTGAAGATTGATATAAAGAAATGTGATAAATGATAAGCTAACATGTGAAATACAAGTAAGAAGGGGAATGACAAAATATAATGATTTTAAAGAAATATGGAATCCATATTTGAATTATGTTTTTGTAAAAGGGAAAGGTCAAAAGCCAGCAGAAGAATCAATGTATTTTTGGAGTGGAACGGGGTGAAAAGAAATTAAAAGGAAATATTTTCTTATCTGGTCCCGAGGGTGACGGCACAGGGGGAAATTTTTGGATTAGTGCACAGCATGTATGTATACACACTTTATGTTAGTATTGTTCTTATTGTTTTTCTTTAATTAATTTTTAAAAAGACTATTATATTTTAATGTGAGCTTTCATGAACACATCCACTTCATCAAACATATGGAAACAGAATGAAATATTGAATGAAATATAGTTACATAAGTAACCGTTCTAAATATTCATTGGCTCTTGGTTGTTGTGGCTTATGTCACAGTAATTTATGGCTTAAGTTGCTTTAGGGTACTGTTGTAAAAATTCTTCAAGGAGACATAAAACAGACACCAGGCCTGGGCAAAGATGAGGGGGGGAAGACAGATTTTTGTTATTACCTCTTCCTGATTCTGAAAACATTACAGCCATTTATCAGCAAAAGCAAGCTAGTGGAACTCTCATATGCAAACAGCCTAGAGAGAGCAGCATCAGTGACATAAGATCCTGCAGGCCCATACTTAGGCTTAGCTAGCTAGCTTAAAATAATTTCACCATGCCACTTTTATTATTTATGAAGTTCCTCATTCTCTGTCTCCCTCGCTCCCTCCCTCGCTCCCTCGCTCCCTCCCTCCCTCGCTCCCTCCCTCGCTCACACACACACACACACACACACACACACACACACACACACACACACACACAATTAAAAATATAACTGTAGCAGTTGTAAAGGATGTTACACATTAGAGGTATCATCAAAAAAAATGTTATATTTATTTTCACTTTTTAAAAGAGATGCATGTTAAGTTTTTGGCAAAAGGCACAAAAGAAAATGTCTGATGAATTTCAGTTGAAAAAGTGGTTTAGAGTTAGAGTTTTGGCACCGCAATAGAAAACCATTTGTTCCTTCTTATCAAGTTGCTCAAGATGACACTGAGATTTAAGAATTAAAGAATTTATGCTTTCTTCAGAAATCTCAGCTGATGTTAATAGTACTTTGCTTAGAGAGGGGTGCTTTAACAACCATGGTTCCTCATGGAACCATTACTCAGTTACAACTTAGCACATGATTTCTTAGGAGAATACTGTACATGTCTTTAGCCAATATATTCTATACATTTTCCAGAGGTTTCCACCCTCCAGCTTTTCTATGAAAGTGGGCTGACCATTCTAGTACTAGCCTGCCACTCTGCTTTTAGTTATCTGAGTGCAAATAAGCAATGGGAAGTTGTGTCTACATAGACATCAGTAATGTTAGAAAAACAAGTTAGTATTCAGAAAATACAGAAATATGTTGTCAGGCAAAATGCAATGATATAAACAGAAGTGGAAACACATAGATTCATAAATAGCACAGCCAGTGACCAAATGCGTTTTGACATATTCTTCCTTAATGGCATAGGCTTTCTAGCTACTGTTAGTTATGCCTCTCAAAGAAATTGGAGGGTTATTAGAAGGCTTTGTCAAGAAGCTGGAAAATAGAGGGATCATGAACTCTGGTGCTCTTTTGAAAAATTCCACCAGTTGGCTCCAGTGCCTGGAACTAGCTGGTGGTGATAAGGTAGAGTAATGCCTGGCAGTATTGGAAGGGAGAGACACCTGCAGCTTATCAGTGTGAGAGTGGCCTTCAAGGCCAGACTAACTCATTCCTTGGTACTGAGCTAATTGGGAGGATGGGTTTCAGTTGAGTGAAGGGAAAGAGCAGAAATTGCCTTTGCCTTCATGAAGGTTTGCTAAGGAATTTGATGCCTGGAATGGTCTAGAAAGAGAAGCCTTGGATATAAAAATGGAGTCAGACGTTACTTTGGCTGGTTTAGTTATCTTTAAAGAGATGCCATGCTCATTTGTTGCCCTGCTTTCTGAACTGCACTTTCTGTATGCTCTGAAACTATGCTGCAAAATGTGCTTCTTATATACCATTCAATATCACTTAAAGTACTTTCTTGCTAGTTTTCTTATTTGCTCTGTATTGTTCCTGGCTGAAACGTTTTATTGATTATTTGCTCCTAGTCTTTTTGATCATTTTTCCTTGCTCTTTATCATTTTTTTCAACATGTTTAATAAACTATAAAATTTCTTTATACAGTTTTTGGATCTTTTGCGTTAAGAGGGTACTTAAAACCTTGACCATCTGCTGGGAGCCAGTATGTTGTCTTTGAATTAGCAAGGAGAGGATTCATTAATTCCTGGTGAAGAGTGGGGCTTGGTAATTAATATTGATTTGGAAGGGAGGAGGGGAAGCATCTCCCAATTAGAGGATAGAGGAAATGGCCCTCTCTGTGAAAGAGCTTTATCTACAACCTTCATGGCCAAAAGAATATTATGAGAACCATCTCTTCTTACTGTTTCATGGTACCAAAATGAGTGACACCTGCCCTGTTTGGTTAGTTACTTTTGTAGAAGGTACCGACTAGAACAGGCATCTCAAAAGTACAGCCTGTGGGCCACATCTGTCCCACATTGCCTTTTTATCTGGCCCGGTGGGTGGACAGGCCAGCACGTGTGCACAGGCAGGTGGGCCTGTGTGCATGTGTGAGTGAGGGCGGGCAAGAGTGCACGCATCTTCCTTTGGCCCTCAAAAGTGTGGAGCATATATGATGTGGCCCTCCCACTGAAAGGTTTGGAGATCCCTGAACTAGAAGTTTCAGGAAAGAACATAATCTGATAGATGCAAAAAGTTGAAACACCTAAAGGGAGAATGATGGGATACAACTGGGAGCAGAAGAAGGGGTCCCTTAAGCTTATGCCTAGCTAGCTTCTGTACAGTTGTGCTTGTTTAGCTTAATCTCTCAGGAGAATGCAATCTATGCCTGCTATTCTGCTGAACTCTGTATTTACTGGACCCATGCTACATCTTAGTTACTTTGTAAATATAGATCTAGGTAGCCAGCTTTACTATCTAACTACCTAAGCCTCTGAATGAGTTTTGGTTTTTTTACTATTAAATTGCTTCACATCCATTTGATTCTTTTAGAACCTTTAAACCTTTTTCTGAACATGTCTTTTTTGAAATATATTCAATAAAAATAATAGAATTTCAAAGCTTTGTAATCACTCAGAAAGATCAAGGTTGGTGGTATACAGATAGTGCCTTGCATTCTGAAGCTTTGAGTATTTTGTGGGTTTGGGGCATTTTTACTTTCAGGGTGGGTTTGCAGTCTCAGGCAACAACCTGGGAGCTTTTATCTCTCCCTGGAGCATCAAAGGAGCAAGTAGGCTTAGCAGTATTGGGAGAGGGGTCTCACTGGAAGCCTTTCCCAGTCACTAGCATCCTGGACACTCCTTGCAAGTACCTACATCAGGATAAGCCAGGATAATGTGGCTGAATGATTAGTGGGTCCTCTGTGTGGTGGCCAGTATTGTGACTTGGCTACATTGGCATTTTTATGTGACAGAGTTGGCACAAGAGTCAAAGCACTTAACCGCATGAATGTTTGGATATTCCTTGAAAGTACTGCTTAGTCAGATTGGAGTAAGGTGTTGGGAGAGTGTTTGACAGGAAGATTACCCCAACTATCAGCACATTTGGCCCTCCTAGTTTTACCCATGCCAAGGCAGACAGCTTAGTGTGGGCTTCTGTGACTCCAGTGAACCTTGATAAGCCTCAAAAAAGTTTCTTTTTATCTGCACAAGGTCTAACCAGTAGAATCATGTAAATAGGAGCTTCACATTAACAGGACCAGAAACACAGATATCAAAGGGCAACATCTATTTGTATTTTTAATGGAATTATGTACACTTTACCATTGATCTGAGGAAGAGCAGGTCACAACAGATCTGTTGGTTAGTTTTGCTATATGTATACCCTATTTCCCCTAAAATAAGACCTAACCTGAAAATAAGCCCTAGTATGATTTTGCAGGATGCTCGTAAAATAAGCCCTACCCCCAAAATAAGCCCTAATGAAGTGAAACCCTGCCCTCCACCATTGTGCAGCCACCAGAAGATGGCATGACTATATTTGAATAAATGTAGATTGTTGTACATGTAAAAAAATAAAACATCCCCTGAAAATAAGCCCTTATGCGTTTTTTGGAGCAAAAATTAATATAAGATCCTGTCTTATTTTCTGGGAAATAGGGTATATTTTCACTGGGCTTTTTATTTTTGTTTGCTGTTTGCATTGTAATATAAATTCTCAATAAAATTAATATAAGACGCTGTCTTATTTTCTGGGAAACAGGGTATATTTTCACAGGGCTTTTTATTGTTGTTTGCTGTTTGCATTGTAATATAGATTCTCAACTCTACAGATGCCCAAATATATGTGTTTCCCTCCTTCAGTCACCTCATAACTCTTTCCTATATCGCTTCAGGGAATCTGTACATTTCTGAAGCATGTACAGGTGAAGGTGTCAGAAAAATCAACATGATTAATAATGTCACTTGTCAGCAATTTCTATTTAAATAAAGTAGCTTTCTCTGTATTATTTTTAACTATCTATCTTCTGTTTCAGGTGAAAGAGGCAGTAAAATATGCCCTTAGTGCAGGCTACCGCCACATTGATTGTGCTCCAGCTTACAGCAATGAACAAGAGATAGGAGATGCTTTCCAGGAAACTGTTGGACCTGACAAGGTAAAAAAAAAATAGGAGGAGTGGACATGTTTGTAGGTTACTGCTGGAAAGTGAGCACCAGAGTGTCCACTTTGACATTAATTCTACTTTCAAAGCAGTTAGTGTTACTACTTCTATGTATAAGCCTGCTATTATTAAAGCCAACTACAACTTTTCTTGCCAGATTCTGTTGCACAGTCTAGCTTCAAATTCTGCATGTGAACTGGCTGTCCATTTGTTGCTCTGGGGTTTTCATAGGGTATCTAAAAAGATGATGCAGGTGCTATGCTGATCTTGTTAGTAAAACTTCATCAGCATATGGAATAAGCTCTATTCCATATGCTTTTAGGACAGATAGGAACAAAAGACTGCAACAAATTAACTATTTTGACAACAACAAAAAGACTAGAAATATATAATGAGCTGGATAATGGACCTAAGGCCTGCTTGATACCATATATTTTTTACCTATATATTTTTCTCATTTCTAAGAAATGCTGGATAGCTCAGTGGATTAGGTGTCTGATTGTAGAGCCAGAAATTTGGAGTTCAGTTCCTCACTGATAGGGGCTGGTCTCGATCCATGGGGTCCCTTTCTAGTTCTGCAGTTCTGTGTTTACCTTTCTCCTGATGAAGGAGGACTCAATGCGCTAAATTAAAAGCACAATAAATTATATATTAAACACAGTTAAACTTTAACAGTAATTTAATGGAATGATTAAAAATATTTAACACTTTAAAAACACCTACTTAGCTAAAAACCACAATTCAGGGTCTCAATTATGATTATTAAAAACCTGTCTGGTGTGTCTTCAACTGTCAGTGGAAGGATAAAAGGGAGGGACCAACCTAACCTCTTGAGGAAGAGCATTCCACAATGCAAAAGCAGCCACAGAGAAGGTCCTCTCTTCTGCCCTCATCAAATATGAATGTGATAGCAATGGGATTGAGAAAAGGGTCTCCTTTGATGAGAAGAACCGGGAAGGCCCGTATGGTGAGATAGGGTCCTTCAGGTAGCCTAGACCCAAATCATACAGGGTTTTATTAGGTAATAAACAACACTTTGAACTAGGCCTGGAAACTAACTAGCCAGTGCAGTTGTTGTAGGTGCTGGATGCTCCCCATAACTGGGCCCAGTCAGCAGTCTGGCAGCTACATTTTCAAGCAGCTGAAGTTTCTGAATCATCTCCAAAGGCAGCCCCATGTAGAGTGTGTTACAGTAATCTAGATGAGATGTAACAAAGACATGCAGCACTGTAGCCAAATCAGAGAACAGGCACAGCTCGCACGCCAGTTTTAAACTATGCAAACAAATTCCTGGCCACTGCCAAAAGCTGAGCATCTATAGTATGCTCAGGGATGAATCCAGGAGTACACCCAAGCTGCAGACTTGGGTTTTCATGGGAGTGTAACTCCAGCACAGGGGGGTTCATCCTTACTCCCTCATCTCCCTTCCTGCTGACCAAGAACTGTCAATTTGGATTGTTTCAGTTTTTGCCCTCATCCCATTTTCATGTTGAATTGAAGCAGTTTATATAATTTGTATAGTATCGCTAATTTGATAGTTGCTACACTAGACCTTATGGATAAGTTTCACATTAAGCTGTTTTCCAATGTTGTTATATTGGAATATGGAAAACTTAAGGTGATACTTTAAATATTTCAAAATTACTAGCTGCAAATATGAATGTATCTCTGCAGTAAATAATAATAATAGAGAGATCCTTTTTTTAAAAAAAAGAGAGAAAGCAATAAGTATTTGTGAACTTAATTTCTGTGGCAGGGCCCTGACCGTACCAGTGTACACAAGCCATACCGCTTGTAGTACAAAGCCCATTCTGTTTGAGAAAGTTCTACAACCCTCAAGAAGAGCTTCTCGGGGCACAAGGCTTTTTGCTTGAGCAATGGCACCTTTAGGTTTGAAATGTTTATTCTAATGATGCACACCGTAATCCAAAAGAACTTTCTTAGTAGCAGTGATGAAAAGAGGGACTTGAAAATAGATTTTTCTCTAAGGTGTCAATTTTTAATAATAGGTACAGTATATGGAAAATATGTGGGGTTGAAATAGAGAGCCAGATAATTAGTTTTCAGTCAAGAAACAGCCAAAGACAGCCTTGGAAGGGGTTTGTGTAGATCCACAACTGCTCTTTGTCCACCCCTGAGCTAGGAAAAAAGCAGTATTCATTCAGTATAGATAGATCTAAGAATTTTTTTAGAAAAATACAAATGAAAGGAATCGTGACACATTTTGCATGGGTACCGCATCACTGTGTAATTGAATAGTGTTCCTCCACAGACAAATGCCTTCAGTTTTGATCATAATTTTTTAAAAACCTCTTGAATAGAACAGTGATTCCCTGTCTTCTTCTTTTAAAAAGGTTGTTAAGAGGGAAGAGCTGTTTGTGACATCAAAACTATGGAACACCAAGCACCATCCTGAAGATGTGGAACCAGCTTTAAAGAAGTCACTGCAGGATCTGAAGTTAGATTATCTGGACCTATACCTCATGCATTGGCCACATGCCTTTGAGTGAGTGTCAAGAAAATAGGATAAGTGCATAAAATCACAGGAATGTGTAGTAGTGGTGTAGAAGACATGGAAAAGTTAAATGTCTGACATCACCTGCACAGTTGCTGATTTGTTGCCAAACCTGTTATTTCTTCTTTAGAGTTTACAGAAAATATTACCAGTTCATTGTTTTTACCAGAACTGAAATCTAAGTTAAACTGAGATTCTTAGAGGCCAAATAGGTCATAAATTCTGCGTTGTGGAGCTTGTTTCAGATCTTTGAACACAAATCTAGCACTGTCAGTTAAGCTTAATAAGGGTCCTATAAATTTTCTCTTCTGGTGGGTGATAGTTGAAGGGGGACTGCCATTATGTTGCAAAGCTCATAATAGTATGCAGTTCTATTTTGTTTCGGGTGTTTAGTTAATAATGTATTGGTTTTTAGTAATTCCGTGAGTTTCCTAGATAGAAGGCATAATAAAATGAGAGCTTCATATGAAGTGGGCATTAGCTCTTTGTAGCATTTCTAATGGGTTTGTGATCTCTAATTTTATAACAGACGGGGAGAAAACCTCTTCCCCAAGAATCCCGATGGCACAATGCGTTATGACTTAATTGACTACAAAGAAACATGGAAGGCGATGGAGAAGCTGGTAGCAAAAGGGTTGGTGAAAGCCATTGGGTTATCCAACTTCAATAGCCGTCAGATTGATGATATCCTTAGTGTGGCTTCGGTCAAGCCAGCCGTACTACAGGTGAGTAGAAGCAAGAGAAAGGAAGCAGGTTGTTTCCTGAGATTGTCATCGTTATCGGAGATAAGAAGTGGATCATGAGGCTGTGCCAGGGAACAGTTTTTGTACCCTTACAATGGAATGTTCTGCATTAACTAATACAGTATGTAGTGTTTCATGCGTAGGATGTAAAGACGTTTACTTGTTCCTTTTCTTTGAAGAAACATTTAAGCAACAGGAATCTGTTGCCTTAAAATAAATAAGCTGTTTAGTTACATGGATTTCTTTTTATGAACAAATACAGAAAGTGCTAACTTCCCTCTCCAGTATTAATCTGACTGTTTAGTTGTTAACTTCCTCATCCTACATCACATGGTTCAGCATTAAAACAATTTGATAAATAAAATTCCTCAATGTGATCTCTATTTTATATGCCCTCAAGAAGTGCGGGGGGGGGAGAGAGAGCATCTTCACTTTCCTAGAAAGCTACCTTCAGAGCTTTTAAATTGTTCTTCTAGGTTTAACTGAAGGTTTCTGGTGAAGCTTTTCAGTAGAATATTGCCCTTTTCTCTTAGCATTCAGCCAGGAATATCCCATCCTGCCTCTGGTTCATGGCTCAGGACACTTTTGCTCTCTGATATTTGTTGTTGTTGATATTTAATGGTATTTGTTGATGTTTAACGGCATTTGTTGTTATGTGCTATCAAGTTACCTCCAACTTAAGGCAGTTTTATAAATGAGTGATCTCCAATATGTCCTGTCCTCAACAGCCATGTTCAGCTCTTGTAAACTCAGGCTTCCTTTAGGGACTCAATCCATCTCGGAATTGGTCTTCCTCTTTTCCTGCTTTTTCCACTATATTATTGTCTTTTCCAGAGAATTTTGCCTGTTCATGATAGCATTGGCTCTCTGATACACTCAGACCTATTTATCACTTTAAGGTGTGCAGCAAAAAAGGGGGTTACTGTATTTAGCTGCTAGTAAAAGATAGGAGTAATGTGAGGTATAAACTAGAGTATCTGGAGTGGCTAGAAGAGTCTCTGGAATGCAGGCTATGTATCCTACCAAACTAGATGTGATCAGAATTTCTGTGATTTGGTGGTTTATTTTACTTCACAGCAGTTATATGAAACTCTGATTTTGAAGAAGCTGTGTTTGAGTTTACCCATTTTCTTTGCTCTCTCTTCCATTCCCTGATTGAGATAGGCTTTCAAAGATGATTAGCTCCACAAGCAGGATGTACATTTATGGCAATTTTCTTTTCCCAAAAGGATGCAATCATTTCAGTCATCATTCTCAGCCTGTAAACTGTGTCGTAAAAGCGTTCTTTAGAACTGCCTTTACACGAAACAGAGAGGGATCCGGAATGATCCGTCCCTATTGCCAGCAAAATCGG